TACTTGTACCTATACCGACAATGCCTCTTGAACATTTACGAGATAAAGAAACTGCTTGAGAGATTGGGTCGAAGTTAAAAGAAAGAGAATAATATGACAATATATTGTGACAACTTGCGTACAAGTTGTCTGAAATAATGGCTACCACTGGGAGAACTCCAACTCTACAGACAAACTTGGAGAGGTGTCACTTGAGCGAAAGTGGGTCAGGGAATGTACCGCCTGTAAAGAATCAGAGTACAAAACTCCAAAACCACGAATTTTGGACAGAAGATTGTCAAGCGATATATAAATATCATTTTTTACGGGCAAAATTCGTGTGCATGTATTTCTATTTTTTGTTTTAATAATTGTTAAGAATAGACCTCGCGTGTGTAATTTTGTAGAATGTTGAAAAGCTGGTCTCTCTACACGATGAATTTGATACATACGTCTACATGATTCTCAATAGGCGCTATGAGAGGTTGTATATCTGATTTGATTTATTAGTCAAAAAAACAGTAAAAATATATGTGACGTATGTGAGAGTAGTATCATCCGCGCTTGTTTTCTTGAGTTTCAGAAACTTTTTTCAAAATTTTAACTATAAATAGTTGATGAATAATAGTTCCAAGAAAAGCGAATTTACAAACTTTTGAAAACTACCGACATTTTCGCTTCCGAGTTATAGAAAACTTCTTTGTATTGATAAAAGAACTGAATAATCTATTACTATTTGTGTATTGATAAACTTGTTGTATTGTCAAATTTGCTGTATTGCCGAATTTGTACGTCGAAACTTTTTACAAACAAAAGTATTCTTATCAAGAGTCATATTCATACATTCTCATAAACTGGATAAAATGTTACGCTAAACGCTGAGGAAAAACAAACACATCAAGAAGGAACTCGTGAACTGAACTGCAAGATGACTGATACGACACGTCATCAACAGCATTGCCCCATCTCACAGAGTTCAACTGCCCGGGAACGGCAGGCTCGTTTTGAACCCTCTTTCCCGGACAAAACATTTTTGGGTATATGTTGTGCGGCTATTTTCCCGCGGGAGTCTAATACTAAAGTTTGTTAGTGGAGTTCAGGCTCGCTGTATGTTAAATGAAGCGGTAAAGCAGAGCTGGGGAGTGCTGATGGCCGCGGAGTACTCCAGTGCTGGGCATGCGAATTCCACGCGTAGCGGAGAAGGTAGGGCTGACGGTACGAGCCCAGGCAGGTAGAAGTCGAACTCGACAGTAACGATGTGGGTGGGGTGAAGCTCGGCTTAGTGGGGTAGAACACGGCAAGGCGTTGCTGGACGTGTCGGAGAGTGGAGGGACGAGGCTGGCAGGGATATGTGAAGAGGAAAGACGGGGCGGGTCGAGAATGGTGAGTCGTGGGGTTGCACATGCGTGAGTGAGGTGAGACGAGAAAGGGCATGGCGAGACAAGGACGCCATAGGGTGAATAGGGCTGGAAGGGATGAACTCAAGCGAGCGAAGGCAGTGCGAGTAAGAAGAGGCAAGCGGGGCGAGGCGGGGCGAGGCGGGCGAGGCGGGGGCGAGGGGGGCGAGGCGGGGCGAGGCGGGGCGAGGCGGGCGAGAGGGCGGGAGGGCGAGGCGGGCCGAGGCGGGCGACGGCGAGGCGCGGCGAGGCGGGGCGAGGCGAGGGCGAGGCGGGCGAGGCGGGGCGGGAGGCGGGCGAGGGCGGGGCGAGGGCAGCGGGCGAGGCGGGGCGAGCGGGGCGGGGCGGGGCGAGCGGGGCGAGGCGGGAGCGAGGCGAGGGCGGAGGCGGGCGAGGCGGGCGAGGCGGGGCGAGGCGGGCGAGGCGGGGCGAGGCGGGCGAGGCGGGGCGGAGGCGGGGCGAGGCGGGGGCGAGCGGCGAGGGCGGGGGGGACGGCAGCGGCTGGGCGGCGACCGGGGCGACGGGCGTGAAGTCGGGGCGAGGCGGGAGGGCGTAAAGGCGGCGCGGGGCCGGGGGTAGGCGGCGGCTGGGCGACGGCGGGGCGGCGGCGAAGGCGGGGCGAGGCGGGGCGAAGGCGGGGCGAGGCGAGGCGGGGCGAGGCGAGGCGGGAGAGGCGCGAGCGGGCAGGCGGGGCGAGGCGGGCGAGGCGGGGAAGGCGGGGGCCGAGGCGGGGCGGGCGGACGACGGGGCCGTCGGAGGCGGGGCTGAGCGGGGCGAGGGCGGTGGCGCAGGCGGGGCGAGGCGGGGCGGGGCGGCAGGCGGGGCGAGGCGGGCGAGGCGGGGCGCGGTAGGACCGCGCGACGCGGGGGAGAGGCGGGAGAGCCGGCGTGCGGGCGAGGCGCGCCGGCGGGTGCGACGCGTTGTGCGGGGCCCGCCCGGCCGCGGCGAGGGACCGGGGGCTGGAGGAGGCGATGGCTTCGATGGGTGCGCGAGGCCGGCGCGGGAGGGCGGGACGAAACGTAGAAGGGGGAGCCGCGGACGAGAGACGTAGGCATGAGAGTGGTGTAGGTGGTGGAGCAAGGACGACAGGCCGAAACGAGGTGGTGAAGGCGAGGCGGGAGGTGCAGGGTGGGTCGGGAACAAGGTAAATCGCGAGCAACGAGCAAGGCGTGGAATAGAGATGTGGTAGGAAACCATACTGCACGCTCAAGGCTGGCAAAGTGCGGCATAAACCTCCGAGCGAGGAGGGACTTTTGCTGTCAGGAAGAGTGGTCGAAAGGAGGCCGGTCAAATAAGCCTGGAGCAGGCTGAAGGCAGGTAGTGAAGGGTTAGCGGGAGGCCGGGGGCGATAGCAAAGTGCTGCGCGCGGGTCAGGCAAAGTGGCCGGGCCGGAGAATCGACACTAAGGGAGCAGTCTGCAGGGCAGTGGGCAGGGTCGCGGTGCGCGGAAGCTGAGGGCGCGGAGCGGGGCGGGCGGGGCGGAGTGCGGGGCGAGCGGGCGAGCGGGCGGAGTCGGCGAGCGGGCGGAAGCGGGGACTTGCGCAATGCGGATCGCGCAGAGAAGTTATGGAGGCGGTGGACTGATTTTGAGCAGCGGGGATTCTGAGTTACTTGAAGTCGGGACGTGGAGACCGGTTGTGCGTAGCTTGTGTAGACGGAGACCGGATAGTGTGAGGGAGAAAGTGAAACGTGCAAGATCTGTAGGCTGGGTGAGTGTGGCGGGAGGCGCCACGTGGAGCAGGCCGAGGTTGCGGCTTGTGACGGTGACGTCGTCTTTGAGAAGATGTGATCGAGGCTGGAGCGGGTACGGAGCGGGGGAGCGTTGTGAGGAACGGCGGGCGTTACAGGGGCGGTAGAGAATGCGGGCGGGGCGGGAGAGCGGGCGAGGCGGCCGGCGGCAGGGCTAGGACGGCGCAGCAACGGCCAGCCGGCCCAGGCCCATGCGCGCCAGCGCGCCGAGCGAAAAGGATGGATCCCGGGCATTCGCTCTTTGCCTCTAGAAGCACCGCTGCCTTTGCCTCCTTGCCCACGCTCCCTCCTATCCGCAACCTATATTAGTGTACGTTTTAATATCACCTGATGGAACGTGGCTTGAATGAGCTCCGCTGATCAGAGTCGATATTTGATGCAGGGAAAGAGCGGGCAATGCAATTTCTAGGAACGCAGAATGGGAGGTCGATATGTGCCTGGAATATCAAAGGCGAAGACTATCAAAGAATCAGGCATATCAAATATGAATGAAGCTGTGAACGAATAAATTAGCTTAACGCGTATGGTCTATCAAAAGTAAATATGATTTTTTTATATGAAAAGAACTCAATGGAATATTTACGTCTCTCAATTTTTTACATGATACTCGCATATTTGTTGCTATTAGAAAAACGTTTACTTAATTAAGCAAAAAAACATTTATTCCGGGTAAAGGGCAAACAATTGTTCGACAATTTTGCCGTTGAACGATAATTAGATTGCCTCAAATGCAGTCTAAAGGAAACCAGTGAAGATCAAACATACATGTATTTCAGCTTCCGGATCAATAACTCCTCTCTATCAGGTTTTGTGTCCAGTTTCCCTGATCCATTGAGCAAATGATCATGCCCCCTGGTTTTGCTTCTGGATGTACAAGTAGCTTCACTATGCGCTCGTTTTGTTGAACTCTCCTTTTGCTTGAATGGTAGGAGTCGAGGTAAGGGCGAGTTATTATTTTGTTAGCAATGCAGAAAAATCATACTTGCAATTTGTTTACAGCTTCAAATAAGTTTTTTTTTTTAACTCGGAAACGAAAATGTCTCTTTTTTGAAATATTGCTAACCTCGTGATTTTTTAAAATTTATTTTTATATATTTATTTTAAACTTTTACTCATCTTTCAACTATTTATAGTTAAAATGACGGGAAGGGATTCTGTAACTCAAGAAAACGTGCGCAGATAAGCTTCTCCCCTCTACGTCACATACCGTTTTTACCGTTTTTTGACTAAATAAATCTAAATGAGTTTGCACAGAATTCTCTAACTTATAATTATGTTGATTGAACCGACAGTAAAAAAGAATTATGTGGAAAAGCCAAGTGTTATTTCTGTTTTGCAAAGTGGGAAATATCGGAAAAAACTTACATTAAAAACTAATTTTATCTGCTGAAAGGAGAATTTTACAAAATTAAAATCGATACGAATTAACTATGAGCAGTAATATTGGCATTATCTGTCGTGCAAATATATTATAAAATCATTGAAACCCAAATTACACTGATTACGTCTCTTGTTTCAAGATCATGCTTTACCCCTTTTTTGTTATTTAGTGGTCAAAATTTCATAATTCTTCTTTTGTCTTTTGAGACGGAACGTTTGTTACGGTGGGAACGAAGATTCAGTTACGAATGTGGTGTAGTTCCCATCTTCTTCCTTTGTTTCGCTCTGGCGGGGACCATGGTGATTTGTTCAAAACTAGCAATTTGAGGTTAGGACTCTTCATTTACCAAGATGCTAGTGTTTATGTAACTATAAAGGAGATAGAATATTGCTACAAAGATTGGCTGACACAGAGCACTCTAGAATAGCTGGCTTTGTACTTAACCACGTGATGCACTATTACAAAAATCGAATATATCATTTTAAATAAATTCGTTATGAGGTTATGGGGGTTATATTAATTCGTATGGGAATAATGAATATAATATTATTCATAATATTATATTCATTGTTCAAATGTATTATAAGAAGTGGTGGACGTAAAAACATTGTAAGCAAGTAGATTGTTAAATTGATCATTGTTATATTAAACAATTTTATTATTCTCCTAACAACGACATAAATTTTGAAACATTCTTTAACTAAACAGAAATCAAGAAAGAAAAAAATCCATCTTCTGTGAATTAGAAATTATTCTATGTGTGAATTGGAAATGTGATTTTTTTAATGTATTAGATGTGCTTAATATACAAAATAAATTATTTAATATTTTGTATTTTCTCTTTTGATATAATTGAATTGACCATTCCCTTTCAATGAACAATTCTCATATTTCTTACATAGCACTTCCTCAGATGCTTACTGCACTATCCGCAACTGCGTGACGGGATAACTCATCTGCCTCCAGCTGACCGTGGCATTAATCACCGAACATTCCTCCAATACAGGATGGACAGGCGCCAGCGGGGTAATTATAGTCCAGGGTCGAGCGGCTAAGGTCGTTTCGCAATACAAGATCAATACCAGCGATTAATGTTCACTGACTGAAATAACCGGCGCAGAACCGCTACATTGACGGACGGCAGACGTGCAAGGGACATGAAGGACCGCGCAATTGATTGGCGCAAGCGGGCAAACACGACGGCGAAGGCGGGCGGGCGGACAGGGGTGGGCGGCGCTGGGGCCGGCGACGGGCGGCGTGCCGACGGGTGGTCAGCGACCGGGGTTAGGCGGCGGAAGGGCGTGCGAGGGGAGGGTTGGCGGCGTTTGGTGCGAAGGCGTACGGAAGGCATGAGGGGAGCGGGTCAGGGGGGCCAGGGTGGCGTGTTGTTGCGCCTTGCGGCGCGGGCGGACAGGGACGGGACGGGCGGGCGACAGGGCGTGCGCGACAGGGGCGGACGACGGGCGGGCGGGCGGGCGAGGCGGGGCGACGGGGGCGAGAGCGAGGCGGGCGGGCGGAGCGGGGGGGACAGCGGCGCGGGGCGCGGCGGCGGGCGAGGCGGGCGGGCGTCGGGGGCGGGGCGGGAAGGGGGAGGTCGGCGAGGTGAAACGGCAGGGGCGGGGCGGCAGTGAGGCTGGGCAGGGCGGCAGGTGGCGGGCAGGGGCGGCAGGGGCGGCAGGCGGCAGGGGCGGCAGGGCGGCAGGGGCGGACAGGGGGGCAGGGCGGGCAGGGCGGGCAGGGGCGATGGGGCCAGGGCTGGGCAGGGCGGCCAAGGGGGGCAGGCGGCAGGCGGCGATCCAGCCACCCAGCGTTTCTGTTTAGACGATAAAGCACAACAACTCGCGCCGAGAATCAAGAGTACGTAAATGCTCGTAACTTACTCACGAGTTCATCGACTCGGCCCAAATTAACTGATGAAACTTTCGGAAACCGAAATCATGTACTATGTTTAATGGATCATTTACAAAGTACACTTAAATGCAAATATATATACACAGACTTTCAACTTCAACTATATACAATCATCATAAATTAAACCATGATATGGTAAATGGTAAAATTATTCCGTTTCCATACATTCAATGGTAGATTCCAAGGAGTGAGTCAATTGCGATGAAAATTTAATGTAACGTATGCTCTTACAAAGTGCATTAGCATCAATCTAATTGAAATTCGCCATTTGTGTATTTACATTTTTCTTTATTGCCCGAGGGTTTGTTGTTTTCAAATAACGATAACGACAATGAGAAAGCTGGAGGAATGAAAACTTTCATGTTTACCATTGAAATTCAAGTTTATGTTGACCAATTTGAATGGTGCTGTTGAACAACACGACAAGAAACTTGTGCACTCACGTTTCTATAAATTTGATCGAGAACTGACATTCAGAGTTGGTAAAAGCCAACTTAAAAACTTGGAAATCACAAGAATTTGAAAAATTCCAATGCAAATTATATTAAATAATATGAGTCATTATAAGACTAAAAATAGTCTTATATTTTAACAATAATTTGAACGTTTAAATTTTAGTCAAACATTTGCTCAACACCAAAAAAAAAACGCGAATCAATTTGTAAATCACAAAGAAAAATTAAGCTAGAAATAAACAAAGCATTTGAATTGTGCAAATTTTGTGCTTTTTTATTCCTTTGTGCAAATAAAAAAGCACCCAATTTACACAATTCGTCTGCTTTTTTATTTCTGGGTTAATTTTTATTTCCGAACACGTGTATTAATTTATAATGTAAATGATAAACAATTTACAATTTATATCGTTTACTTTGTTTTCTCAGTATGTGACACTTTGCACTACGCCATTCCAAAGACAGTGCCGGAAATTTAAAACTAAATTTCTTTCTTAGCCAGATAATAACCTATTTAAAAGCATTCCGTTTCCGCGTTAGACAGGTATCCGGATTCTAAAGGTAATTTTCACGCATAAAATCGTTCCGTTCTGAGATTTTTGTCCGGGACGGCAGGTTTCCGTCTTGTAGAGGTTCCGCCTTAGACAGGTTGTACAAGACAAACCACTGACCCACGAACGCGCGGTAGCCGTCACACGCGGTCGCGTCCTCTTACCATGGTGCCGGTGTGCAAGGGGCACAGCGCCGCCATCGACTCTTTGCTCTCGCGCAGGTGGCTGAACTCGGGCAGCTTGAGCGCGTACTCCAGATGGCCGAAGGTCTGCACGAGCGGGATCACTTGCAGGCGCAGCTCCGCCGCCCACTCCAGCAGCTGCAGCACCTGCGCACGCGCAGACAGCGCTCAGCCACTCACCACCACACCACGTCCTCGATGTGGGAAGAGATTGAGGCAGTGTAAAAATAAGCCAAACCAGTTACAGCATGGTTCCTGCTATTCGTAATAGATAATATTTCTATTTTGGATGAAATGTGTCTATTGGCCCCACCAACACCACACCCTCGATGTGTGAAGGGATTGAAGCAGTGTAAAGATTAGCCAAACCATTTACATCAAGGCTCCTGCTATTCGTAAATGATAATATCCTTATTTTAGATGAAGTGCGTTTCTTGCCCCCCCCCCAACACCACACCTTTTATGTGCGAAGCGATTGGGGTAGTGTGAAGATAAGCCAAACCAACTACAGTAAGGCTGCTGCTTTTCGTAAAGGAAAATATCTTTATTTTGGATGAAGTGCGTCTCTTGTTACTCCTCAAAGCCCTTCATGAATAACAAGACATAAGTAGTGGGATCATTTCATGTCAAATGGTCTATGTTGTGCCCAGAAAAGATTCACAAAGCAATAAACAGTTAAAAATATGTATTGATCACTTGATACAATTCACAGTTACAGATCGTACCGATAAAAATACTTTGTCCCATTCAACCAGAAGATGTACAATAACCAAAGCACTGTAGACGCCATCAGAAGAATTACCAGTTCTAAACCAAAGCAAGCTTAAGCCAAAAGCATTCTCACAAAACCAGATTGCCCGTTCGCGCGCCCGCGGTTCCTTATATCCCCCCGGCCACGTCACAAGCCGTGACTCGCCTCAACCTCGCGTTTCAGTGGCTGCTTCCTCTGCCTAGCGAGCCTCTACAGCGTACGCTACCCAGCTGTGCGCGCGCCACCTTTAAATTACTTTCTCGTATTCTCACTTCAAAACCCGTATTTGGCAGAGCATTTATACGCCACAAAGGTGAGCTTTGGCGGCCTAGGCCAAGAATGAATTTTAGGAGACGATTGCCATGGCAACGTCAAGTAAACAAGACAATGTACAAATGCCTGTTGACATATTGGTAAAGAATATTTATTATTTTTCGAATACGGAATGTTTTTATTGATGGACTTATTTATTGTTAACATTTATATTAAAAACACAATTAAATACATTCTGAAATATTATATATGGAACTGTTACGTCTTCCGTGCAATGAGCTCTCGTGCTAGGAGTTTCAACAGAAATTGATGTAATACATTTTCAAAGAGATATGCAGCATAGTTGTTTTCTCTTTTCTATTTTAAAAAGAAGTCACATTCTCTTTCGTATTAATCCCTTGATTTTTTAGTAAGTAAACTCTCAGTAGCAGCTTCAGATTTCTCAATTTTAATACCTGTTATATCGCTCTCCATACTCACGAAAAAAAATCGCCAAAACCAGCCGAAAATTCTACGCGTGTGAACAATTATGGCAGTGTTGACAACTTCAGATAGAGAAAATTTCTTTTAACTATATTACACATATGCCTTTTGCCTCTGATTCGTAGGCAACTTCTAATCGTTAGGTGCATAATGTCAGCATAATTGTATTGAATAATTTGAATAATTGAATAATACAATGCCGGAACACTTTCATTAATTTTTAAACCTGCTGACATGTTGAATAGCTCTTTTTCTACAAATTCTGATGTTCTAAAGGTGCACAAGCTTGTGCTCGTGGTGAGTCAAAATGACAAGAATTCTGATTAACATAGAAAGAGAAGAAAGGCGTTTAGAAACGACAGTGTGCATTCATAGAATCAGGATGCGTGTAACGAGAACTCTGTACTGAATCGGAGCACAAGTTCCAACAACTTCTTCCGACGAAGTTTTGAAACTGCAGCAAGTCTTACGTAAATTGACCCCGAGTTTATCGCGACGCTTCGTGCCTCAGGAATACTCACGTCATTTCGGTGAGGTACAGGTGAAAATAAATTGAAAAATTACGCCAAACACGTGTATTTTGTGACTTTCAGATGGAAATAATTATTTTGCCGATTTACGAGCCTCGAACCGCCTGCTTCATTAGGATCAATGAATTGAATATAACTAAGCTTATAAATGTGGTGTTGGATAAAGACTTTGAGTAAAATGTGCACAAATATTTTATTTCTTGCGTTCAGATCTCAATAGATTCTCATTTAACATTTTCTACGGACATTTCTTAATTGGTAATTGTGCCCAAATCTGAGCACTTGTTCTGGAGATAAAGCCGGAAAACATAAATCCAAAGGAGCATCATCTTACATGACATAACTATTTTTACAAATTCAATGAAATATTCTGAACCGTGGGAAAGGAGATAGCTATAATAATTGTTCTTTAAATAATTATTTATGGCATAGATTTATGAAAATAAAAACAAAGTATTCGGGTTTTTGGCGTAAAACTGTCTATGTGTAAAATTAGTCTATATAAAACTCCAGAAAAGTAACCTGCAGAGAGTTTTAGAGAATAGAATTATCAGTTAATTTAGTTTCGGGATAAAGACAAATAGTTATTATTATTATTATTATTATTATTATTGTTATACTGATATGATGATCTACAGATGTTCACCACGAGTTATGGGGATGGAAGTTACAGTGAATTCGGAGAAATTCAAACTTTTCAGCCACAATACATTTTCGAGTTTTGCACAAAAAAATATTTTTTTCTGTAATAGACATTAGAAGGGTAAACAACACAACACATTGTGTTGGCGATTTGGAAGTTTTGAATCAATATAAGACAATGCTTTTACTAATATACTAATTTTCCACTGCAAGAAAATCTGATATTTTTGATCACAACTATCACAATTGCTGCATTTTCCAAATACGAAACAAATCCACTCCAACATTTCTTCCAAAAAGGTGGGATGAAATTTATAGAAATAAGAGATAAATTAATGAACTAGTATCAAATTTGTCGCATGAGAACACTTCTTTAGCAATGCAATAAACAATTCGACGTGGACTCAATATCATTTGGGGCGAACATTCAACTTATAATAGCCTTTGAAGTTGTCATCTACATTATGTATGGGCTTGTTATGATCGTTCTTTTGCTTGCGATGCTGTTTTCACAAAACGTTTCTTTAAAGAAACGGGATATTTTCATCCTATAACATATTCTTAACTGCATTTGGAAACTCATCTGGCGAACTTCTAAACTTGCGAAAATGACATATTGTTATTCAAATACGTACAAACGTTTGTGAAGCTGAGCACTACATCTCCTTTAAAGAGAGTTAAAACGATAAATGAAAGGAAATAAATGCAAAGGGTGAACAAATGAAAAGTAAATATTTACTCTTCGGTCTAATTTTGTCGTTTGAACTTCTCAGCAGTCATTTTATTACGTTCGTTTTGTAAGTAATTATGTAAAAATTACTAATTTTTGAGTTCTACTTTAAGTAATTCACAAATAACAACCAAAATTCATCAAAATTAATGGTATTAAAACAATTGTAATTTTTTTTAAGAACTCTCGAATTTTTAAAGTCAAGAATTTTGTATTTATATTATTTTTGATATAAAATAGTTTCCATGGTTTTTTGATATATACCTTTCTTTTTGCTCTTAATAAACCTACATGCGGTAATACACATATTATTATTATTATTATTATTATTATTATTATTATTATTATTATTATTGGCTTATTGACCATTCCTGACCACGCTATACGATTAACGTGCGTTATTTTGCCAGGACCAGCTTTTCAGCCGGATCCCATCAGTACGACAATGTTGTTACGTCCTGAAGTGTGAATTATGAGATGATAGGATGATGATAAGGGTGACGGGACAATCACAAATACAACTATGTCTACGCAGAACTTGAACCCGCAGCCTCCTCAGCGCAGACGAGAGCTGTCGCAATTTTTTGCGCTACGGGGCCGACTTAATAATAATTATATACTTTATACGCGCACAAGTTGCAGAGGGTAATTGAACGTATCGGACCAGAATTTCATTGATAAAGGTAAGAGAAGAGGAAATACTTTGAAAGAAAGAGGGTTGGTTTCAGATAGTCTTCTCATGCCGGAAATGTTTATTGTTTTGTCAAAAGTGAACTTTCTCTCCCAACTCGAGAGTCTTTGGACATCGAGCTTCAGATAGACACGGCAAGCTTTTCATTCATTTTATTATACCGAATACGTGATGTTTCTTGAAACGATTACGAACATAAATTAGCCAAGCATTATCTCATGTTTTGCTCTCCCATTACGCTCATTTCAATAAACAATTAACGAGCCTTGAATAATTACGAGTCATTAAACTGTCTTCTCTACAAGGAATTTCTCAGCTATCTGCGTAATCGCATTATCCGTCGGGCACTTCGTCAAGGCGCTAATTGTCTCCAGGAGATCCGCCTTTGAAGACGCAGCCTCCGTCGCCTCTGCGGTCGGCACTGAAGCGGCCGCCACCTCGGCGACTCTCCGTCGCTAATGCCTCCTCCTCCCCTTCCTCCCCTTCCTCCCCTTCCTCCCCTTCCTCCCCTTCCCCCCTTCCTCCCCTTCCGCCTCTTCCTCCTCTTCCTCTTCTTCCCTCTCTTCCTTCTCTTCCTCCTCTACCTTCTCTTCTTTTCCTCCTCTTCCTCCTCCTCCGTAGCTCACATTCCCTTCGCTGGCACTGGCGCTGTCTCGTTTTAGCCCTTCGCCACCTCAAGCCTGCACTATCTTCGCCTCCAACCACCGGTGCCTCCTCGACAATGCATTGCTAATTTCGTCACTTCCTGCCCCCTTCACCATCACCGCTTCCGCGTTAGCAAAGCCCGCTAAGCTGCCGCTGCTGCATCTTTCTCTGTAGCAACCACAGTTTCCGTTGTCACCGTCCTTTTTGCCGCTGACGCCTGCTCTCTTAACTTTTGTCGTAATTGCCACCACTGCCTCACCCATCTCCGTCGCTGTTCCTGGTGCACGCTCTTGCTCCTCTTCCACACCCAAACATCTCCCCCTCTACCGCCACTGTCGTTGCCACAGTGGCATACCCATCCTATTCCCACTCATATCCACTACAGCCTGCTGTGCATCAGTT